TGCTGAATTTCACATCCCTGCCCCAAAACATCCCAATGAGACAATTGAAAGTATTTTATCTTCATGGGCAAAAGGACTCATTTCCTCCTAACTTCATTCTGAAAGACAAGTGAATGTTTTTGCTGAAATTTTCCACAAAAATTCAGCCTGGCACAGAAAACTGATATGCAAACAGTCTCAGATTGAAGCTTGATTTATAAGCATTTGAAACTGGGGAGTTACAAAGGAAAATGTTGGAAAAACTCTTAACTTACAGGCATTGCTACCTGCTCTGTCTGTAACATGCAAGTGGTAGAAATGGCTCTCTAGCAACAAAACTAATTAAGATTGCTAATGCACTTTTTAATTCAACTTGTCAGATGCTTCTTATCTGCATAACATTCACTTGGGCTGAAATTGTAGCTCTTCCCTTCTTTTTTTTTAGATCAGCGTCAATAAAATTCATTCAGCTATGAAAGAATTAGGGAAAATATCCTTTTTTTTTTTTCTTTTTTTGAAAAAAAATTCTTACACTAACTCACCAGCAGGGAAGAATCTTCATGCAGAAAAAGTTTTATTGATTCTCTCAATAAACAGCACTTTTGAGTTGTCCAAAGTATTAGCCTGTTGACAGCTGAGCTTTCAAAATAAATACAAGTAATGAATCACATAATTGAACTATGTTATAATGCATGTATCAGCATTCCCTGCTTTTTTGTAATTTTTCTACTTACTTAAGCTAAAGTAAGCCCACTTAAGCTTACTTTACTACTATAGAGAAGATGAAGTTGCAATCAAAACAGCAGAGCCTTTACCAGTGCTATTCCTTGCTGTATTTGTCTACCCCAATGACGCTTTTAGACTTCTTTTTAATCTCTTCAGGTTGTGGGGTTTTCAAACCTGGCTGTAATGGATTCTTCTTCAAGTCTGACAAGAAGCAGCGAGAGTTACATTGCTCCCTGGAGCCGCATTCTGAGATTTGGTGTGTCTTCTGCTGTGTGGCTTGTCATTGCCATGTTACAGGTACAGTTCTAGTACATGTGATTTGAATTATCAAAGCACTTATAGATATTTGACTTAAAGAACATCAGTACCCCCTCCCTGTTCAGCAAAGCTGTAAGCTTGTGTGAAAGGTGCTTTGCCATATGATGGACATGTAGCTTATTTTGCATGTTATCACTCTTAAATTTGGTCAGACTCTCAAAGAATCTCACAGACTTGCGAGATCTTATCTTAGGGTTGCCATCTTCAGTTCTCTGAAGAAGGAAAAGTCATCTACCGCCTTTGGTTTTTTTCAATCCTGTTGAATTGGTTTCAAGTTTTAAAAACAAGCAATTGCTAGAGTTTTGCTCCTTGGTAGTCCAGTTTCACTGAGCCCAGGGACAGCTGACAATTCCAGTTTGTCATATGTGAATTACACACTGCTAAGCCAGCTGCACTGTAGACAAAAACAAAGTCAAAGCTCTTGAATTAATAAGAAAAATTCTGGTTTGTTTCTTTTTGTTTCAGATGGTATTTTTTGCTGTGTTCTACGAGAGATTCATAGAAGATAAAATAAGACAATTTGTTGATTTATGCTCTATGAGCAATGTA